ACCACTAAGGAGCAGCAGCCCTAAAGAGCAGCAGCAGCAGCAGCAGCAGCAGAGGCAGCAGCAGCAGCAGCAGAAGCAGACTAACTTAGCAAAAGCCCTATGCGGTTTATGTCGGCAGACAGAAACATGAATGTGTCTCTTCCTTTTCAAATTAACTAATTATTTGACTAATTAATTTATAAATTAATCGAATAATTAATTAATTAATTAGTCAATTAATCAAATAATTACTTAATTAATCAATCAACTAACTAATTAATTAATTAATTAATTAAAAACCACTTATTTGATTTATTCATAAATTAAACTGGGAAATTTCGGCTTCAAATGACCCACTTAGAAAGCCTTAATAAAGCCCCAATACCTCAACCCTAGGGGGGCCCCCCACTTTAGGGGGTCCCCACAATCTAGGGGGCCCCCACACTTTAGGGGGCCCCCACACTTTAGGGGGCCCCCACAAACTAGGGGGCCCCACACTCAAGGGGGGCCCCACACTTTAGGGGGGCCCCACACTCTAGAGGGACCCCACAATCTAGGGGCGCCCCACACTATATGGGGGCCCCACACTCTAGGGGGGCCCCACACTCTAGGGGGGCCCCGCAATTTAGGGGGGCTTCACATTCTAAGAGGGGCCCCCAAAATGGCCTTCTTTGGGGCCCGCTAGAAGGGTCTCTTTGGGGGGCCCCCCAAAGGGGGCCCCAGCAGGGCTTGTTGGGGGCCCCTAGGGGGGGCCCTAAGAAAGCTAAAATGGGGACTTCTGGGGGCCCCCAGCCGGGCCCAGAGAGGGGGCCCCTGGGGGCCTTTTAGGGAAACCATAAAGGGTTTATATAGGGGCTTTAGAGGGTATTCTAGAAGAGGGGCCCTCTAGGGTTTAGGGTTTAGGCTAGGGCTTAGGCTGCGGTTTAGGGTTTAGGGTTTCAGGTCTTGGCTAGGGTGTAGAACTGCGGAGCTAGGGTTTACGCTGTAGGCCAGGGTTTAGGGTTTAAGCTAGCGTTTAGGGTTTACGCGGGGATTTCTGTCGAGATTGGGGTTTAGATCACACGCAGAGTTTAGGGTTTAGGGTTTGTGTCAGGGCATAGGGTTTATGTTAGGGTTCAGGTTTAGGCTCTAAGTTGGAGCTGAGGGCATAAGGCTTAGCTTAGGGTTTAGGGTTTAGGGTTTAGGGCTTAGGCGGGGGTTTAGGGTTTAAACTGAGGTTTAGGGTTTAGAGTGCTTCACCAGGTGCCAGACTCGCGGGACTAAAGATTGTCGGTTTGGCTTGGCGGCCTCGTCCTAGGGTTTAGGGTTTAGGGTATAAGTTTTAGGGTTTAGGGTTTGGGGTTTAGTACCCTGGTCCCCCCATGTCGTTTTTATATTCCTTTTTCTATTTAAAAGAGAAAATGAAAAAATGATTTTAAATACTTTAATGCATTTCTTTTCTGAAAAAGAAAAAGGGGTAAAAGCACGAAAAGAAAAATCCTTAAAGAGAAAGTACTTATAAAAAACTAAACCCATTAATGCAAATTAAAATATTTAATTTATATTAAAACATAATGCGAATTATAATATGTTAATTTTATTTAAGTTATCTGAATCTTCAGAATAATTTTATTTATTTTATTTATTATCACTCCTGCCCTTATACTCCTCTTCTGAGGTGTACAGACAGCTCAGCTGTCTGTACACCACAACTGCATGCACAATTATTTTCTTCTTTTAATTTTTTCATTTTTGGAAAATGTACCCTTGGGCAATTAATAAATATATTTAATTGCAAAAAGGATGCAAATAAATGCATAAATAAAGCAAGACTTTTAGAGTTGCATGGGCATTTTAGAATACATTTTGAAGTAATATATTTGTCTATCTTTCCATTTTATTTTAATTATTTTAATTATTTTAATTATTCTAAAGTTTTATTTTTCTTGCATTCTTCTCATTCCTGCAGCAGCAAAAGTGTCTTGTTTGCTGCTGCCGCAAATACCAGAAAAACAAGCTCAGAGATAACCCCAAACCCCCAAACCTTAAACCCTAAACCCTAAACCCTAAATCGTTGTTAGGCAAAAATACATCCATAAAAAGGGGTTTTTTGTCGAGGATATTGAAAACCAAGATGTGGAAATGCTGGCCGTAGGTCTTAAACCCTAAACCCTAAACCCCAAATCTAAACCCTAAACCTCAATCATAGAAGTCTAAACCATAAATACTCGGTTTGACAGTCCCAAGGCTTTTCAAACGAGGTTTCAGCCTTAGAAGCTGCAGAACCAATAAAAATTGAAACCCTAAACCCCAAACCCTAAATGGTGGTTTGGGCTTCGCTAGCTGGGGACTACAACTGGGCGAAGAGCAAAACTCGTTTCACTTTTCACGGGCAGCTCTTAAGGCATAGGCATGCATTTAGGGTTTAGGGTTTAGGATTTAGGTTTTAAGATTTAGGGTTTAGGGTTTAGGGTTTAGGGTTTGGGGTTTAGGGTTAGGGTTGTGGCATGCCAGCTAACGGTGTGTGCCGGCGGGGGCAGTTGCTAGTCACGTGGGGCCTTTCGCTTGCAAATAAAATTAGAATAAGAAATTAAATTAAAATAACTTTTTACAATAAGATTTGCAAAATCATAAAAATAAAACTCGAGCGCATGCAGCTGCAGCCACCAGCAGCAGCAGCTCCCGCTGCAGCAGCCTGCTGCTGCTGCGCTGTTTGTCTTTTGCTTTGGGTTTAGCGGCCTTTTTTGAAATTAAATTCTTCAGTTGACCCTAAACCCTAAACCCTAAACCCTAAACCCTAGACCCTAAACCCTAAACCCCGATTCTCACGCACGCCGCCAGGGACGCTGCCTCAGACGAGTGCCGGCAACTCCAGCGGCCTCTAAACCCTAAACCCTAAACCCTAAACCCTAAACCCTAAACCTCCAACCAAGGCAATTGTAGGGAGTCACTTAGCAGCTGGAGAAATCAGTAGCAGCTGCTGCAGCAAGAACGTCAACAGCTGCTGCCGCCGCCGCAGCAGCAGCAGCAGCACAGCAGCAGCAACAGCAGCAGCGCCGAGACAGTAGCAGCAAGAGCCGCAGCAGCCAAGGGACCAGCAGCAGCAACGCAACCGCCACCAGCAGCTGCAGCAGCAGCAGCAGCAGCAGCAGGATGGAGGCTGCTGTTGCTCCGCCAACTGCGGCGAACTTTGAGGCCATTGCTGCTGCTCTCGAGAGCCCCGACAGCAGCAGCAGGCAGCAGGCGCAGCAGCTGCTGCAGCAGCTGCAGCAGCAAAGAGAGGACTGCAGCGAACTCTGCCTCGCCATAGTAGACGCAGCAGCAGATGCAGCAGCAGCAACAGTGGCAGCCATTCTCCTTCGCAGCGCGGGTAGGCCTGAGGTTCTAGGGTTTAGGGTTTAGGGTTTAGGGTTTAGGGTTTGTTAGACTTTAGGGTTTGCAGGCCTCTGAGCGATTCGCAGCGTCGAGGGCGCACACCGTAGGCTGCAGCCTCGGGGGTTTAGGGTTTAGGGTTTAGGGTTTAGGGTTTAGGGTTTTTACATGCAGATTGACGACGAGTGTTTAGGGTTTAGGAATTAGGGTTTATGCGGTTTGCTGCAGCGCTGTGGCACTGGAATGCGCACATTGCTGCTAAGAGAGCAGCAGCAACTCGCGAGCTGTGTGCGGACCCAGGCGACGCAGCAGCAGCAGCAGCAGCAGCAGCAGATGCTGCTGCTGCTGCTGCTGCGCTG